GTATGCATTAACCTTTCCGTAATTTAACTGTGAGAACTTGGAGTCTTACCCTGATTTCGTGAGCAGATTGCAAATAATTTGTGTAATTCAAGAACGAAGGTGCTACTTATGCAATCTGGATTATTCGGAAAATATGAATTAGTGAACTCTTCTAAGTAATTTTTGGCAACACGTAATACGCATGATGTCCTGAATATAACGGGCTCAAATTACAGAAACACGAATGCAACCAACTGAAAATAGTATTAAATAATTTAGTTTAATCTCATGACGAAGATAGACATTTCAACATCACTGTTGCGATAACATTTTGAATTCAAGCAGCATTAATTAAGCTCACCGTATTCACCAGTCTGGTAAAATATAGGGTGGTGAAGCGACAACACCTTGCGCTTGTAAAAGAAGTAGAAATGTGCATTGAAGTTAAATGAAAGGGTGCCTGTCATCTGACGAACAGAAAGCGTTTTCTTGACGGCGGTACGTAGATGCAGCGTTTTTAAAACACCATAATCTGTTTTGATCGTCAGCAGTGTCGGACCACAAGTACACACGATTGACTTGAGCACCGATATGTTGAATGTAATAGCTACTAGCTGTATGATTTGCTATCGTGCCTATGTGATTCCTCACTGCAGATAAAACGTGATGTAGGAAATACGACCTTTTCATGCTCCCTGGAGTGACGTTGGGGCCACAATGTTTTTGTGAGCACCCGAACAGCAATTCTAAAATAAAAAAAACGGCTTGAAATATGTACAACCATGCTCTTTCGGACAACAACAAACACTTCCCTTAAAATTCAACTACACGTTTTGCTTGGTCCTTCGAATAATAATAATAATAATAATAATAATAATAATAATAATAATAATAATAATAATAATAATAATAATAATAATAATAATAATAATAATAATATCTGCTGTTTCACTTCCAAAAACCATGATGAGAGACGCCGTAGTGGAGAGCTCCAGAAATTTTGACCGTCGGGTTCTTTAACGTGCGCTGACTTCACACAGTACACGGGCCTCTACCTTTCCGACTTCACTGAAATGTGACCGCCGCGGTCAGCAGCTGAGCACCGAAGCCACTATGCCACTGCAGCAGACGTCCTTCTCAGTATGCATTCAGAAATGCTGCTTCGTAATGTTCTGTCCCGAACGGGGATATCAAATATACTGCGTTTGCGGAAATACTCTGTCTTTGTGCGTTGTCAGGCGGCGACAGTTTCCTTTCGCTTTGATGAGAGCCCTACGATGACTTGGGTGATTAGCGCAGAGAGGCCATGTCCGCAGCTTTTGCAATTAGCAGGTTTATTCATGGAAATTACAGAGGACCAGAGATTAGGAACTTGCGACACCAGTATAAAAGACCAAAGAAAACAAAGAGATTTCAATAGTCTTTGTTCATTTTTTTCATGAAGTAGCATTGCACGTGTCGCTCGTTTTATTGTAGAGCGATCAGGTAACCTGCTTTCAGATGGGTAGGTCAATTATAAAAGTCGCAGTGTTACCTGAGTCAGTGAAACCATGCATGCTACTGCTACAAAGGGCGAAGAAAAGCTCAAGTTGCGTCTCCAAACACAGCTAGTCATATACAGCAATGCTTATTACAAATTTTGTATTGACTCTGGTCAGTGACGTGTGAAGGCATGAGATGTATCGAATTAGATTGTCATGAAAAAGTAACTTTCGGCCAGTAAGGTTTATTTTGACCAAACAAAAGGAAATCTCGACCATGACAGCCGCATTTCAATGGAGTCGACCTGGTACAGGCTCTTTTACTGTGCGAAGTCAGCGCACGTTCAAGAACTCCAGACGATCAACTTTTCCGCAACCCTCCACTACAGCGTCTCTCATAATCATATTGTGGTTTTTGGAAGTTAAATGGCAGCATTGCATGATAGTGTAATGTTAGATTAGTTACTAACATATTGTTATTAGAAAACTCTTATTCGCTTTTGCACTTCACACGCAGTGCATTTACTTTCTTAGTGGACGATTATGGGGCCACCACGAACCATTTTTCAACCACAGCGTTTCTTTCCCGCTTTTTTTTGTTTGTTACTTTGTTTTACTGAATGAACCCAAATAGAAAAAAAAGGAGTGCTGTTTGTGTTTATCACTAGACTGATGCCGCTGGTGAACAGCTACAACTTGCTGAGTTTAACTGAAAGTCTTTGAAGCTGAACACACCAGTCAACATTTGAAGAAAGTGATGCCAATACCAATACACTCAGCCCGCGTCATAAGGCTGTCTTTTTATAACCGGAAAGCAAAGCTTAGGAAGGCCCAAGGCAGAGAGGCAGATAGTATAAAGGATGAGAAAGGGGGGATGACTAAAGCACAGCCATATTATTATTAGTAGTCTAAAGAGATGCCCGCCACGTGGACAGCCCAACATACTTCATGAAGCAGACTGTTTGCTTCCTCATGAGTTGCTGGACAAGGTCACGGCTTAGCTTCCAGATGGCAACGCGAAGGTGAATTGCAATTGTTTGACACCGAAGGCCAGCTTTTCCTTGTTTTAGCGGCAAGAGGGACTTTCCTGTAGATAATACGTTTATGCCTCGAGTGGTATATGCTATCGATGCTGACTAGGTTCAAGGCATTTCTTTATATTGTTCAGATTCAGAAATGAGATCCGTGAAGTACCATTTAGCTCTCATCTTTCCTGCCACGACGTCCACGCAGCGGACTACCGTTCAATTAACGCGATGACGAAGGCTTCCTTGTAATTTTAATTCGATATAAACAAAATTGTCTGCCACTGTCACTCTTGTCTCTCTTTCTCTAAAAACATCAATATTGGCTTTTACCATCTCTAACCTTAAGATTTGAATGGAAAGAGAAACATTGCAAAACCCTTTTTTCTCGGAGAATTCCATGCACTGGTGGAAAACTAAACTGCAGAGTTTATTGTTTAGGACTCACATGACAGATATCCGATGTCGGAGAATTGATCAGAAAGGCGAGTTTCAGCCTAAAGTTCTCACGGTTACACGAGGCCACCATTGTGGTCTGCGGTTTTGGGGTAGTATGACATACGGGTAACTACAACAAGGCTGCACTCAAGAGTGACCAATACAGCGCAGTATACTTTGTTACTGTCTGAAACTGTGCTTAAGTGACGCAATCGGTCGTGAAGGAAAGAAGTGGAAACCTGCGGGCTCGTTTTTTTCCCTTTGTAGGACTCGAAATATTTAAAACTCACAAACAATAGACAGAGAGAAAAAGAGGTGCAGGGAAAGGCTTGAAAGTTAACCAAATATATCTCCGGTTTGCACCATGCACTGGGTAAAGGCATAAAGGGGGAAAGGAATAGAAGAAAAGAATCAAAGATTTTCATTGACTTTTCTTCCTTCACGTTAACACTACAATTACTAATAACAACACCTTTAATACTTTTTTTGGTAACACTGTTTGTAAGTTCTCATAAGTAATTATTCGTGATGTGATGTTATTTTCATCACGACAAGTTTCTCTCATGAATATTTTTTGCCCTTCGACGTGATGTTTTTTTTTGTATATGAAAATTTGTTTGTACGACATGTTATTCGCTTGATCTTTTGTTTTGTTCACCCTTTCTGAAATCAATTTTCAGCATTGTTCAAAGCGGCTGACGCATATCAGATGTGCATTATATGGACACATTTCGGATTCATAACCTTAGAGTACTTATTTGTTTTGTTATTTCTCTTTATTTCTACAGATATTTTCTTGCGATGTGGCTTTCTTGTTAGAAGCTGCGATATTCAGACAATGGATTGTTCAGCAGCAAAATCTTATTTTTCTGCAGTCATTAAACAACAGCTATGACATTGTGTTTCCCATGATGATGTTTGATGTTTTATGGCGCAAGGGCCATTTCATGGCCAAAGAGCGCCAGTTCATCTTACTACTGTGTTTTTCATCAGTTTAAATATTGTAAATATGAAAACAATATATTATCACAGTTCCACTGCGCAAAAGTAAAAAAAGTTGCTCAAGTATAACTCTGCCCGACAAACAAAGCGAAATATCTTCAGCAGGTCATAAATTATGGCCAAATTCAGAGGACTAGAATACTATATTATTTTTGTGGAGCAGAGTGCTACCCGGGCTACGCTTCATAAATTTATAGCTCTCTTATGGTGAATTAAATTTCGAGGTCAGGAGTGGCCGCCGGAAATCTGGAGGGAGCACTCGGATTGTACCAAGCCAAATCTGCCAGTGAAACAAGTGAATTCTCCGTGTGAGGTCACTCCAGTAGTTTTTATGCATACGCCAAGTAAACAAGTAAAACCGGGGTCGAAACTTCTTCGACGTAGCCGATGGTTTTCGGGCGTACGCACAAAGAGTCAGGGAACATCATAATATAGAGAGTGTTCAATTCGTCGTCTCGTCACTGCTGCCACAATATTGTAAGTTTGTGTTATCTTGTTATCAACCAGGGCAAGAAGTAAACAAGCAGATCGTCCAGCACTGTCAAACGACGTAATTTTAGGACGGTAAACAGGTGCGCAGGGTGACTAAACAGCACCTCGATAAAGTGCTGTCGACAGTCGAGGTACCCAACTGCACCGGCATTGATGAGACCGAGCTGCCGTAGTTCTGGTGAAACCCGCTACTGCAAGACAAAGCTGCGTGGAACACTCTATCATGCACTAGGTTACTTACTCTGGATCAATCAGTGAAAATGTGCAGAATGCAACATCACCATTAGTGAGATTGCCTACCAACGCTGGATATGTTCAGAGAAGAAAGGCACTACACTGATTCTAGCACATCATGCTATATACGGTCAAGGATTAATGAAAAGCGCATGCCATTGATGCCTTTCATCTTCCTCGGTGTTCTCGATTAAACGTGTGTGCAGTAGTTTTGAGTAAGGGTTACGAACGGTTTGACCGCGAAGGCGTGTAAAGAGGATTCTTATGAGGCGCATTAAGCGGTACCACTGCGCTCATCGGTCGACATATGCACGTATTATCACCTAATGTCATCTCCTCTACTTCGCAGCCTCAGCCTATCCCACCTGGAGTACATTTACGTGAGGCCTTTCTGCCATGTCGTGTCCTATGTGGCTGGTATATTTGCCGGATACCTGTCAGTCTGCCACGGATCAGTGCCTTTTGGGCGCGTAAGATATTTTTTATTTCTCATTTGAACATTTCAAACTTCTCTCACTCCTCAGCTCTCATTCAAATTGGTAACTCTATATAATGCTGATTAGATCTATCTAAAATATTCTAGCCTACTAACTGTGAAGAAGGGCTCAAAGATGCAATCATAGCACAGACAATGTTGTTTACCATCCCTATTCAGAAACGTTTTCAGGGATACATTGGGGTATGAAGAAAAATAAGTCTCATAGTGAAATAAATGCACATTTGAATAATCCCTTCCTGGCGGGGTGCACAATGCTTACACAGTATGTGGGTCGTACGCTGGGAGCATTCTGACATTTACCAATTACCAAATAAATATTTACGAAAGTTTTACTGCAGCCTGATATGTCAGTAAGGATTGAGTCGTTTTTCTATCCGATATCGTTGAGCGCTCCCGTTCGGCATGTATTTAGAACTAATATGGCCCCTTGGATGTACGCTTGTGTGCACGTTTCATATTGATCGATGTGATAAGGCTGTAAACACTGTTACTCCTAATAATTCGTTGATTTTTCTAAAGATTCATGTTATTTGTGAATGAATCTCGAAATGCTGTTAATATAGGTGATACTGTTATTTTTTTCGTCCGATACATCTTGAGCGTTCTATTGCACGGGTGGCTGCGGGGTCCAGTGGTTCCAGGTAGCACAGTGGATGCTATCGTTGGCTCTGCTGCTATTCGTCATGTTCGTGACGGTTCCATGGAATGAAGGCAAATTGCCGAGTGCTCCCGTGAATGCCCTCTATGGTGGATTCCATCGACTACTTTGGAGCGTCGCCTTGATGTGGCCTTGCTACGCCAGCGCCACCGGACGGGGAGGTATGCCACAATACTACGGCTTTCAATGCATTTTTCAGGCTTTATTGTTATTGCTGTTATATCGACACTTCATGCATTCTTTCGTAGTTGCTGTTGCCGTGAGGTTACGTGTAAAGTTCAAATTATTGACATCAGCCAACGCGTCGTGCGTTCTATGTGCGAGTGAGAGCGTGCAAGGGCAGGCGGCGATGGTGGCTCGAAACGTGAGGTCATATGGAGTCAAAATATTTGGCTGAAAGCAATGAGACCAAGGGCATCTACATAAACGTGCACATGAGCTGAACGAAATTCCAGGACTGTTCCTTTAAAAAACTATGGTGGTTATAGAGCATTCCAAATTTGAGGACTCTGGAATTTTATCTCTAACTTAGAGTGCCCTAACCACAAAACCAAAGCGCAGTGTACAACCAATCTTTTATTTGGCCTTCATCTCGGTTCAGTCTCTGTCGCCGATATTGAGCCTGCGGACATTTCCTCTGAAGCATAATTGAGCAGTACAGCAGAGTCGACATAACTTCTCTGTGAAGCTTACTACATTTCTGTGCATGACAAGTATACAAAAGATTAATTCCTACGTGGCATAAGGCCTTAATAGTACTAAGCAGAAGTCTGCGTAAAATGCAACTTTTGCAATCGTGCAAACTGTGCGTATTCAAACTATCTCGAAATAAATACCGTTATATCTTGTTATTTCATGCAAGGACAGCTCAAAGAGAATCGTAAATTCAACGCAGGAAATAGAAATGGTTTGGTTGCCTTTACGGCCACTTTTTCATAAATGCTCAACGCGTGATGTTCGAGATACTTCATCTACAGGAAAATGAAAAGTCTACTTCTTCTGAAGCGCTGCAGGGAAATGGGACCACAAGTTTGTCTCGATACGAAGATCTATCATTAAAAGATCTCTTTACTTATTAATTTTTTCCCAATCGACCTCACTTGGACTACGCCTCACTATGATTTTACTCGAACAGAGTCACTGCGACCTAAATTCACCGACACTTTACTGAGCCGGACTTACTCAGAAGCAGACTCGCGGCTTTACCTTTGTCTAAGTGAGTCTGAGTTAGTCGACCCATGAGTCCGTTAGCGTACAATTAGTATTTTCAGTCATATATGCGTAAATTCTCTCTAACGCCGATACCTCACGTAATCGGTGCTCTACAATACGGCTTTATATCTTGAGCCTTCAAATACGAATTACGGGGGGTTCAAATCCAGTAAGCACATTTTTGAGATATCTCGGGTGAGTAAGACTCATCCAAGGCAGAAAAAGATGTCCTGTGTGAGTACGACTCACACGAGATATCTTTATCAAGAACTTGCCCCCGAAAAAGCTTGCGGGGGAATGTCACGGTGCCCCGCCCTATAACTCACGCCTCGGATAAAAAAAAATTAGGTATACAACATTGTTGGAATACTTGTGGAAATACTTCAGTACATTGTTTAGCCGACATAACGTTGATATTATAGCTAAAGATGAGTAGATATGATAATGATTAAGGGACAATCAATGGTGAAGCTCACTCATACTCACTCGAAAAAAGTATTTGCCGCTCTGGGCTCACTCACACTTCGACTTATATGTAGTTTCTGCAACCGAACTCTGACTCACGGCCCCATCTGAGTCTGAGTTAGTAAACTCACGAATGAGTTTTCCGAGCTATGAATTGTATTTAAAAAAAAGGAAGACCGGGATAACCACAGGGAACACTAACAGTGCGCACGAACCGCGTTTCGTCTCTACACTGGTGGTAATCAGGTTCAGGAACTTGTGAATGCCTGCGGCATTTTACAACACTGTGACACAATAGATCCCTGTTTTAGAACCGTCGTCTGAGAAAATGGTACCCAACGAAACCAGTTTACCATTATACAAAGTAGGCAATGATCGGTATCATGACGGCGTAGAAAACCAAAGCAGTACTCAATTATCACTGCCGAGATAATACAAGACATTTTCATAGGATTTATAAATTGGAACATTTGAATATCACGTGACACTTCGGCACAGATTCTCTTAAAGGTGGTACCCTTCGAAGCTTCGAGCTTAGACAATAGGAAAATATAAGACAACTCGTAACCTGAAATGCCGATCATGGGTGACTCCTACTGTGTTATGGTTGTCTCTCTCTCTCACACACACACACACACACTTACACACACACACCCTTACACACACACACACACACACACACACACACACACGCACACACACACACACACACACACACACACACACACACACACACACACACACACACACACACACACACACACACACACACACACAAATGCGTTTTGAAATACGGTGAATACGATATCCCTGGTTGCCTAAATTTGCGGTGGACAGCTTACTTGTACTACTTTACCAAACGTATGGAACACGCAAAACTTTGTGCGAAAGTGATGGCTGCTTTCTCACGTGCGCTTGTTGTAATGAAAAACCGAAGAGAATTGAACTGAGAGTTCAATAAAGAAACGTTAGAAGTGAGATGATTTAGTACCAAATTGCTGTTGCTTCTCACATACATTGATGTCGTGGTTCCGCTCACAGGATGGTTCGACGGCTTTTTTTCGTGGACAATGCTTCGGCCCTTGTCAAGGTTGACCTTCTGCATCTACCTGACACACGTTCCCATGTTCTACATCCGCACAGGAAATATGAGGACCAATTTTGAGCTGAACGAGTTTTTTCAGGTATGCAGTCTCTTAAACGTCTTTTGTTTTGTTGACGCTAAAAAATTACGGGGTATGCTTACAACTTCCTAAAAACGTGAAGACGAAAGCATAGCTGGGGATTATGTTGATGTGGTTGGACTATTAGTTATACTTTCTACTGATATGATGCTGCGGCCTTTCTCACCAAAAATTTTGTATTCCCAGATCCCCCCTCACCCCCCATATTATTACAAATGCATACTTACGTGATAGCATTAAAAAGTTCGTTTCGCAGAAGTTCCGGTACCCACGTCGTTGGTTGAGAGCGAAAAATAATCCTATCCATGACAAGAAAATCAAGAAAGACGCGAATATAAAATAAGTAGTAAATAACTTGAGGCCACCTTCATGGCAAACAGGGGATTTCACGACATATTCCTGCTTTTAAACTAGTTAAAAAACAACAGCACACGAATGGCATGTAGTAGAAGGCATCTCGTTATGGCAGAAGCGTAGAATTGCTCCAGGTGTCAAGACAAGTGAATCGCGTAACAAGTGGGTGTTTTGAAGGCCACCCAATACAAAATACTCATATTCAGTCATCATCAGCTGGAAAAACATCAACCAAGTCACCAACTGCGTATGTTCACCTGTTGCCTTACGGATGCGTAATGGGCCCTTCGCTGATTCACGATAAAGATAATTATAGCGTTGTGGGCACTTCGCGAACTGAATTGCAAGTAAGCATTCTAAGATAGTTTAAAACTGCCAGTGTTACGCGCACAGTCATTAGTGTTCCACGGCAAGGTTGAGTTAAAAACCGAGAATCAAAGCAGGCTAGCAGTTTAGAAGGTAATAGTGAGCATGCGGCTCGATTATGCAATGCTTACTACTCTTGAAAGCGAAGCTCAAGTGTCTTCCAGGTTTTTGCCCTCGTCAGGTCACTGTCGCAGCTTGGAACTCTCTAGAGTATTTAAGAATAAAACGTTTACCAGCACCACCATCTTCATTCATGGCCGCTTCTCAAGTGGCGTACTTTTTGCGGTCTTCCCCATCCGGGAAAAGGGCCTTGTCACGTCATATTTGTGCTTATTTTTCATTTTACTCACGTGAAAGTCGCAAGGACGGAGTGGCTATAGCTGACGCTGTGTGCTCGTGCGCTCATGTAATTTATTTCTTTTTATTTTTAGTTTTACACGCTCTCGAACGCCGCAAAGATTAAGTGGACGGGCAGCTCGCCCACTCAAGTGACATTTTCTACGCCTTACAACGCAAGCTTCAGACACAGATATCCAAGGCTGTAATAAACAGCGGAGGTCTCACTTATTTTTTGTCAGTGAAACTACGTCATCACCCGATGTTGCTCAACATGGCATAGGAGGCGGACCTGCTCATACAAGTTTTAAAGATGCCAGCTAACCCCCTAGAACTTTTCTTAAAATTGGAAAGTCGTAGACTATTGTAGTAAATTTTGAAGATCCCTTCAAGTTTTAAGAGAACTATGATGTTTACGGAAACGCTTAAAGTATAGCAAAAGACGAGGCCACCCAAAATGAACAAAAAATGCTAGAAAGAAAGGCTGACTTAACGTCGCCCTCTTTGCGCCAGCTTAAAAAATTAGCAGGAATGCCTATATCGGTGTCACACGGGTACCTTTAATCACAATCAGAGCGATCTGGATCGGTTTTCTTGACCGCGATCAACTTTATGACCGCTGCTACTCGGCCCAAGCTAATCAAGTTCGAGCTTGAGTCAGATGAAATGCACCAGGCGACGTTTGCGTTGATTGCGTGTCGTAAAAGACGTCTCTGACAAAACTCGGCGTACGATTTTTCCATAGAGGCCTTTATCCGCATTGTTATTCGTGGAAGAAACGCTAGAACGTCAAAACTTTTCGTGTCACTACAAATGTGATTTCATAAATCCATCGTTCGATAGAGGGTTCTTTGCACTTACCTGTATTGCTAAGGGAGATTCCTAGCCTTCGCTTTTATTTCCGATGGCCCTCACTCGTAGCCATCCAGTCACAGCGAAGCATGGATCTCGTTGTACGCACCAGAGTTTTACTTCTGGCGCCTCACGTCTTCCAGTTGCTCCTTCCAGTGGTCAATTACTGTAAGTTTAGATCTCTTAACTCGACCACAAGGTGCGTGTTCGTTACGACGTAGTCAAAAGGTGCTCCAACAGCTCTGATGGTGCGAGAGTTGAACTGAGAGTGGAAGGCAACGGTCGTCTGCTTGTCGTCTGCTTCTACCATAACTACATGTGGTTTTGAACAATAAAATATGCGATATTTCAGGTATTGTTCCAACTTAAACAGTTTAGAATTTCCTTTTTCTTATAAACATCTAGCTATTTTAAAGTCTTTCTATGAAACTATGCTCTATTTTCTTGTTTATTGTGCTTTCAATAAGCTCGGCCAAGGGGTGCTGATGACAGCAAAATCGCGATCTCTCTGGCAGATCGTGATGAACGAATCGCGATTGTGTTGATCCCGATCACGCCAGATCGTGATTTAAAATGACTGTGTAGTGGCATCTAATCCGGGTCATTGTTAATATGGATAGATACTGATCGCGAATAAAAGTGCGCGTGTGACACCGATACTACTTTTGAGCAAGCATAATTAAACTTGCACATGCGGCACGTCAAACTGTTAGTGGCCGAGTCACTGATAAAGCCGATGATTTGTAACATGTTATCATTCTATGCGGTTTCAAGTTTGGGGCTTTATACGGCGTCTAAGGCAAAATTTTCCTGTTAATAAATTATGCTCATATGGCAAATGAGGTGTGTGCGCAGATCAGAGTTAGGTGCGCTCTTTTATTCAATTGCCAGTAGCTGCAATAACGAATACTAATAATCTCGCATAAGAATGTCAACCAGTTATAGACCTTGCCCTTGTGTTTAAGTGGTTTATCCCGAAACTTACCAAACCATATTTTTCTTTTATTTGAGATCAATACTGCTATAAGACCGAACAAAAAAAAACATCTCCGACTATTGATCCTTCGTGTGGGCTTAATTCCTAAGTTTATGACTGATAAGATTAGAGCAACGTTTCCTTCTAGACTAAGGAATACCTGCCTAAGGAATTTTAAATATGAAAATTGTCATGCGAAACTGAACTTATTGAACCGGTGAGTGCAGTACATGGGGTCAAAAACCCCTTTCTAAGTCCACTGAATTCCTAACCCCTATCATTTCTACATTGCAGCTCAGCACTTCCATGGGCATCTACTGGTTCAGCGTCGTGTTCGGGTTAGCCCTGCACCTGTGCGTCGAAGCACCCGTCGCGCACCTGCAAAAATTTCTTTTCGAGAGTGACTCTGAGAAGAGCAAGGCGTCGACTGATGTCAAGCCATCTGCTATCGAGAATGGGGAACAACGGTCAAAGTTATAATAACCACCCAGTTGTGAGAGGAAACAAGCCGTTTTTTTTCCTCATCAAGACCTCTCGAGCAGACATTCTTGGTGGCACCGTAATTATTACTTCGGCCTGAACCACATACGTTAAAAATCACTAGGTTGACAAAAAGCTTCGCTCGTATTGTTTCGGTGACGGCAAATCATGAACAAGGTGCCCTGTGGTCTACACGCATAAGTTATTTACTGCGACACTGTACTTTACTACCATCCGTTGTTTGTTACTGTTCATGTGACACGTGGGCACAATAAAGGCGTTCGCACTGTCATACCATCTCTGCTGTCGTAAAACGCTTTGCATGGTGGTCATAACTATAGCGCACTAAATTTATACCTTTTCCTTAGAGGAAAATAAGAAAGCTCGCATCCACATTTTTACCTAGTGTGGAAACAAAACAAGCGACATAAGGAAGTGAGGTGAGTTAAGGAAGACTGCAACTTCTCCTACTGAAGGTTTCCAGGCAAGGTAATCATCCCTCGCCAGAGCTTAGAAGAACGTCACTGCGCCAAGGGAGAAAGCTAAGTGCAATGACTAGAATAATAGCACCGGTTTCCAAAATTGCTATAGCACGGTGATTACACACCAACTGTTCCAACTTCGTGCTCCAACGTCTGCGATATGATCCGAAGAAAAACGAGGACGATCTACCTAAAGTGAAAAGTTTTGGTCTCTAAGTTTTGGAAAAAACAACAAAACAAGGCACTTTCAGTATCGCTGGATGCACGTTAAGTTGCTCGGATTGCTTTATCCAAGACTTGCGAAACGCATTGAAAAGTAATTATTACCACCTAAATTAAGCTAAGAAACAATTTACGCTAGATAACAATCATAATATTTACACTTCCAGCAATTTTCATCGCCTTGCACGCCTATGTGAGTAAACAGTGATCTTCATATTGACTATTCTTCAGAAGGTAATACTCAAAGCAAAAAAAAAAATAGTTTTAGATGTATACAGCGTGAAATCGCCTGTACAGAAGGCGACCAACTTGGCAAACGTTAGTTTTGGCCGATGCTTAGTCGTAAATGTAAGATTTAAGGGGGAGCGGGGATCTAATAAAGAATACCTCAAATGGATATCATCAACACCTGTTATCTAGCTAGTGACAAATATTAAACGCAATGTTGTTTGTTTTAAACCAGACTTCTTTTTGAATTGTGCTTTAATGGTGCTGTGGTTGCACATGTTTGACCTTCGTGGAAAGCGTCTCTGCGGTAAGTATAACGCAGTCTCCAGGTTTAATCAACGAAAGAACATCAAGACAACAGAGTCCGCTTTGTGCGTGTTCATTTCAATGTTCGACTGGTGCTTATTGATATCTGTGCGAACCCTACTAGCAATGGGAACCATACTAGTTTGTTTAAATGAATATGGCTGCCCACCGACGGCTTGCATAGCTTGTAAATGCAGAATCAGGCACTTATTCAATCACCGGCTGGATACCAGCTTAAACGTCATTTATGAGTGCCTTGTTCATAGCAATCGCTCGTGGTGTGTCAGGATAGTCAGTCTATGGAGAAAAAATTTGAGGAGCTCATCGTCTTTTTGAGGCTGGTTCAGCAGTAAAGGGGCCAACACATGACACAGAGGTTATACATAATTTTGAACAACGGTATGAGCTAGATTATTGTCTTGATCAGCATTGAGTAGCATGACCATGGCATGTTCTTCTTAGAGTTCGTCATCATCTTGAGCACACCCCCAAAAGCCGTATCAGGCGACCATCGAAACGAATGTTTGGCGGCAAAATTTCGCTCAGTAAAAATTTTCCTGAATTGAGCAATTTTTCGCATGTCAGCTTTGCATCTTCTCCTGCAGAGGACTTTCATTCCACAATGGTAAATGTCGACAAAATGAAAGTGTTCCCTTTTTTACAAGTGTTTTGCACCATTCACTTTCTTTTTTTGTGTGTGTTTATTATGTTTTCCTTTTCAAGGTTTTTTCTGTTTGTTTTTTTAGAAATCTAACACCTTTAAATTTTTACCTATATTACCTAATTAATGCAACCATCCCTTTCAAGAAGTGAATTAATTTAAAAAGCAAGGCACCATCCCATTCGTGGCCTATCCCCCTAGGTGGGTTGCGCCTAGGTGTTAAGGAAGCAATCAACCAACCACTTTCTCAAGCATGGGAGTGTAGTTCGGTAGCTCGTTATCTCGATGTCTCAATATCTCGATGCTCTGAAGTCTCGACTCGGGAAAGAAATTTTATTTTGCTTTATATGCCTGGAACTTTTTGTCGGCACACAGTAAAAAAATTACATCCTCTCCCGTGAAAGAGGACCATGAGGCAATGTGAAGCAGCGCGGAGGGCGCACACCACATCTGCATTGGTTTGACTCGGTGTTTCCGTTAACGTTTCCGTTATCGTTTGCGTTCTGGTTGGCTTGACGCTGACGCTTGGCTTCAACGTCAACGTTGCGTACGGCGAGGTTTGCTCGCCGACGCTGCCCTTGCGTTTGGGCATGTAGAGCTCGCGTTTCATCCGTAGCAGCTTCGCGCCGATGCTGCCGTGAAATGTGTGGAGCGGAGGCAGCGCTCACGCCAACTCTTCCACCCCACCTCCTCACGCCGCTCACGTAAGGAGAGAGTCCTTCCACCTTCGCAAGCTGACGCAAGAGGGGTATAGATGGCCCATGCGCAGTAAGAGTGGCCACGCCACACGCACACCGCATTACACTTCGTCATAAGATGCTACGCATATAAAATACAACGAACCGTATACAGCCATATTATGCTACACTCCAAAAGAAGTAAAGGATTGCCGTGGCTCCAGCCTCGCAAAGAATCACGCATGATATCAAGACGATATCGATGTGCGCAATGGTGTATATTCAATTCTTCACCCATGAATATATTCTAAACTCAGTTCACTGGCCAATCATGATGTCATAAAGAAAATATGAGGCTGAATAACACACACAGAGAACATTTCGTGAATCGCAAGGAAGGAATAACTCACAATCTCCGCTTCACCCGCGGGAAAAGATATATCGACCAGGCGGGCAAGTGTACAAACGATAGCGTTAGGGATCACTAGAGTCTAATTACACTACTATGACGCTGTAGAACTTCTGCTGGTGAAAAAATCTTCGGAGAGATAAGTAATTGAGGAAGCAAAGGTCAAGTTGACGCGTGAATCGATCGAAGCATGATGAAATCGATTGCGATAAAGAAAATTGCCTAAGCATTCCCTCTGTGACCCTCTTAGGAAAGGAAATTGGCTATCTCTACGCCCACTGAGTAAAGAGCGGATGTTTGGTATTGCACACCTTTTCATTGCCTGGTTGAGCCTGTACCATATGCGGTGATCAATTCACTATAATGTATCAGTTGGCGTTAAGAGCTTTTTCCTCTTCTTTGTTGAATTTATCTCCGTATTTGCGTGCTGTAAGCTATTTTATTATGCTTTACCGTTTTGCCCAGCAGGCCAGCCTCGTCTAAAAAAAAAAAAAACTCGCATCTTCAACGAAACGTTGAATGCGGCAAGCTGCATTCGAGAGGTATCATGTTTGCACCGGTCACATACCTTCGTCATCCATTCACGTCACGTAATACCAAATTTGGTATCTGCGAAGCTAGGGAAATGACCGCAAGCTCACCATGAGCGTGGCATGTAGTCATGTTCTTACATGACACTCATGTCATGATTTCCACGTTAGGGTCTGTCACTTGTGTTCGCCATGTAGTCATGTCATACCATATCAATTTTGCAACGTGTCATGTGAACGAAACCACCGCAAGGGCAGCAGGAGCATGAAATGTAAATTATGACATTCATGGTGTACATGCCATGATTTTCATGTTATGACTAGTCATTTTATTCTCGTTATACAGTCATGTTAAACCATACTAATTTTGGTATCGGTTCCAATTTAGAAACGCCCAGGAAAGCGAAAAGTCATAGGCGGATAGATAGATTGATAGATAAATATATAGTTAGATAGATAGATAGATAGACAGATATAGATAGATAGATAGATTGATAGATAAATATATAGTTAGATAGATAGATAGATAGATAGATATAGATAGATAGATAGATAGATAGATAGATAGATAGATAGATAGATACGCTCAAAGTCTCTGAAGTTCGCTGAGATATGTTTTGCAATGAACAACAACAACAACAACGACGACAACGACGACGACGACAACAATAACCACAACGACGAAGACGACAACAACAACAACATCATCAACAACAACAACAACGACAACAACAACGACGACAACAACAACAACGACAACAACAACAGTCTGCCGTGGCGATATAGTGGTTACTGTGTTCGACTACTGACCTGAAAGTCCCGGATTGGATCCTGGCCGCGGTGGGCACATTTTGATAAAGGCGAAACAGTAGAAGCCCGTGTACCATTCAATGTGAGAACACATTAAAGAAGAACACCTGGTCTAAATTTTCAGAACCTTTCACTACAGCATGCCTTATAATCATATTGTGGTTGCGGCTCAGTAAGTACCCCTAACTATTATAATGTTATTAGTGTGAAGAAAACCTGAATTATACGAGCCAGTGCTTTACTAGAAGATCATTTCGGTAGATGGTAACATTTCATGTCAAGTTCTTGCAGCCCTAATGGGATTGCTTAAACGCAGTAGTGGAGGTGGCATTTAGTTGCTGCCTTCAAGCTTTTTTTTGTTTGTGAAATGCGTCCGTCGTCACAATTCCTAGAAGTTGGGTAGAGATAGAGTAAAGCTAAAAAGCTGTTTCTGCATTGATGATATTAAGAATATAATCTATAGTAAAATAAACAACTGAACTAAAATGAATTTAGCCAAGTTTCTTGCGCTAACGTTGAATCAGTCATACCTTCCGGAGTCTTTCCGTTCACGTCTGCGTTTATTTTGCATTTAGGCAACGTTTGTCTGGACAAACCTGGACACTATGTTCACACGTGTTTATTAGAAGCGACAATACGCCCATCAAGGCATGAAAAGTGAAATAAATTTTTATCGGTGATCACTAAATATGTACTCTACAACCCGACAATGATTGTAAACACGAATTATCGAAGGCAGAACTCTGTGGTTGCTGCGCGCAGCATTACGCCAACGAACGCGCCACGCATCTCGCGCCAGGGTCATTTGGGATGAGTGCCAAATCGTCTGTAATCTTGCTTTCGCGAGGGCGACATTGTGATGCATGAAAGGCCCTTCGCTGCGCGTTGTCGGTGTGCATTTTCTCTTTCTCTCTTTATTTTAGTCATTAGTGAGCCACCTCCGTGTCCACCGTTATAGATTGACTTAGGAAAGCCCACTCGTCCAATAGACACCCAATGTTTGCTGTCATTATACGATACATACTGCCCCTTGTTGGCGAGGAGGGTGAGCTTCGGGACAACTTAGCGAAGTTACCTGCTCATCGCACGAAGTCGCGTACAAAGTATTTTCGTGAGGCAAGATTTCGCGAAAGAACGTTTCTTCGGCGAGCAGCAGGTGCGAACGCGCCGAATTCGGGAAAATGCTATATTGATTGTAGTGTTATCGGCATTTGAGAAGGGCCCCCAGTATTTGACTTCCGAATTGACGTTCAAAACAAGGCGACATCCAATTGCCTCCTCGATCGAGTCTCTTACCTAGCAGAAGTAGAACAGTTAAAATGATGGAACTCCGTCTTCGGTGACAGTGCATTTAAGAGTGATACATCAAGTTATGGTTGGCAGGAAGTGACTCTACTTAGAGACACCAGTGAAAGTTTTGGGAGACTTAAACACTGCCTGACGCAGTGTTTTCAAGATTTCGTCGGCAATCAACAAGCCAGCGTGAACGAAAATGCACCAAAGAGTGTGTCTAGTGATGGCTATAGTGCTCGCAGGGTGGACGTGGCTCAACTCGCCATTCGTCAGCGGTGAAGAGACATCAACGAAAAGCCTCGAGGCAGAATTGACGGATGTTGGTGGCATGCTCATGAAGAAAATGATGCCAGTGGCATCGGAACTCGCCACCAGCCCTGAGCTAAGCCCAGAGTGCGCTGGAAGCCTGTTCAAAATACTCAAGGGTACAAGAGCAAGGGAGCCATGGGCCATCAGGAGTAAGCAGATATTTTCTTTCCTTACGTTTACCTTTGTGCAGCCGGATATTTCGAATGTCAGCAATGGGCGAACATAGGGTAATAGTTTGAAACGTGCTAGTTGTTCGCCTTTACTGTGGCATTCCGACTGTTGCAGTAATGAAAGAGCCATATTACCATTGGTTAGGTTGTTTTGCGTTCTGCAAAGCATGCAGAGAAGGCACGTTTTACCAGTCACATTGGGAGGCCTCGTGATTTTCAAACTTTTTATCCTGTCTGGCGTGTGCCAAGAATATTCGTTAAACAAAATTTGAGTTTAACGAATACACTTGCGACTTTGCTAAGTAACAGAACGGTGCTTTGACACTCAATAGAACGTTTTCGCTGTATAACTGGGATTGGCTATTGGTTTTCACTCACGAACTGAGAGATTCGTTTTCCTCAGCTGGATACGCTCACCCTCTTCTCATATAAGCGCATGTACAAGGGCTGTGTGCAAGCATAAATACTTTATCACTCATTGTATTATAAATACATAGCTCTTCGATTAAAAAAAAAGCATCAATGTGTCACTGGTGATGCGTAGAGCAGAACTCGTGTTCGTATTAACAAAGTACAATTTCACAGTCCCGAAAAAAATACCACTCATACCGTTACACGAACCTTAGTAAGCGAGAAAACGCAAGCAACAAAACTGCGGGCGACGCCACCTCGAGATTGCCGCATCAAACACCGAGACGTCGGCTGGGTCCTACGTAGCTTTCAATCAGGAAAACTGAAGTACGTTGTAATCTGTGGGTGCCATGGACTTCGCATACGAAGTTTAGGAAAAATTCATCAAGCCAATGCCTCCAAAATACCAAATTTTTGTTTGCATTTTTTACATCACACGCAGAGATTTTTGCACGAAATATAACAATGGAACTTTAACCTTGATTTTCTACAATAATGATGTACTTGTGATAGTAAAACATATGGCATTAGAGTTCTCAGAGTGTAGTTTGTCAATCTAAGCCAAGCCACTGTTATTCTTCAGTATGCCTTTACGCATAAGTGAACGTCTTCAGCAAATATAGCTCGATCATTTGACCGCAAACTGACTGGTTTTGTGCGTCTCCAGCAAAAAAAAAAAAGAAAGCTTTGCTTACGCACTTGCGGTGATTAATGTAGAGAATCAAAGGGAATTTCTTCTCTTTCAGCCGTAAAAGGCTAGAAGCGGTAAAGGAGGAGGTTAAGAGTGCTCCCCTGCACCAGCAACGCTAAACTTGCTAGCACGTCTTCTTACTAAGAGTTTTTACTTTTTTATCTACTATGAAAAACGTGTTATTTTAAGCGTTCACATTCAAAGGTCGGTAGGAAAACAGCATTAACTAGACTGGCGTCTTGTTCCGATTTGGTGCTATTCCATTCTGTGCAGTGATTCTGGCTAATGGCTTGCTACCTAACAATATCCTCGAGGGAAGTCTCATCAGCCTCGGAGGTTACGAGCAGTGCCTCAAGACCAGGGTGTTCAACTCCGAAGGAGAGGTGACACACAAGGGACAGTACTGCACCCTGTTCGTCTACCCACCCTGGTCTGTCTTAGAGACGCTCGTGAAGAAGTTTCAAGCTGTTGGTGAATTTACAGTAAGCTACTTTAGTTGAATTTGGGGATTTTTTATAAATTTTTGGTTGCGGTGTAGACGTGTACTTTATTAGAAATTCAATAATGTATATACAGTCGAAGCGTTATTTAATGAAGTAACAATCACACTCAGTATATTTCATTACATTGGGATGGTAATATAATTAGAAAGATTTTTAGTCCCCTGGATATCTAAAACTCTAGCGTAACTAGCTATCGCGGCATTGTGCTTGCCACTATCCCACAAGGCTCATGTGAAAAAAGATCTTTCTAGGGTAGTCCGAGAGTGGTACGGACTTGGAGCCTCCAACGTCGGCTGGACATGAGGGCTCCATGACAGGGCGATGCAGTTACCCCCGTATTCAGAAACACTCCGAGACTTGAACTTGACTTGCCACTGCCTTTAATGCAGAACAAAGGCGCCAAGGCAGCACATACGCACCAACGCGTTTCAAACACGCTGCGTTGACGGCGGTGGCAAGTCACGTTAAAATCAAGGAGCTTTTCTGAATACGGTGAATGGGTCAAGTGAGTATACATGGCATGCTGTCGAAATTCACAGAAGGGCAGTGCGAATGAAATGGTTGCGAGGACAGGTTGAACGACAGACTTGGAGGAAGGCGGTCGATGTTAACTGTAGCAAAAATCACAAAATAACAAAGGCAACCGCCACCGCCCCTGGAGCCATTTGGTATATGAGCGCTTTTGGTATATATGAGCAATTGGGTATATGAGCGGCCATGCATGAAAACAGCTGCCGGGACAGCTTTTTTGATGCATGGCCATGGTGTCTAGCCTTGTCAAAAATAAAGCTATGACAACGGCTATGGTGTTCAGGTGTTAGCTTAAAGGGGACGCTAAAGAAGAATAACCCGTATGTGCCAAAATTAGGTATTTCAGAAAGACCTTCATTACATCAGCATTGGAGACCAAGTTAGTTCGTTCACCCACTAAAAAAAATTTAATTATGTGGGGTCCTAAATCAAAAAGCCACAATATGTTTATGAAGGACGCCATAGTAGAGGGCTCCGGAAAGGAACCTGGTGTTTATTAACGTGTATCAACATGCACAGTACACGGGCCTACCACTTCGCCTCCATCAAAACGCGACCGCTGCAACTGGAATCGAAACCGTGACCTGCGGGTCAGCAGCAGAGCACCGTAGCCACTGATACACCGTTAACCCAGGTTTATGACAGCATTAAAACCTATGGGTACCTGCATGCCTACTAGTAAAAATTTCTGTTAGATAAGAAACTTCCTAAAAACCGCTACGTGTCCCGGAGGTGTTGCGAAACGTCCACTCCAAAATTTTTATGAGATGCAGCGCAAGCCCAACCATAAGCATGCATTGCAGTTTGCTCCATAATTTGACCTAATTGGGGAAGAAATGCTGCAATAAAACCTATCTCTCCTCCCCCGCCCCCCTGAAGGGGAACACTGGGCACCCCTATGCGTCCAACAACGCGCGCCACGCTAAGGAACACCAAGTGCACACGTATCTAACGCAACAACGAGTACATCCTCCTGCATGAAGCAGTATGGCGTGCCACGCGTAGCCAGATAAAGTATCACTATAAAAGGCCGCAACAATAAGGAAAAAATGAATTTGTCTGGAACATAGTGCTATGAGGCGAACTCATTTCGCTGGCTTTCCTTGTCAACGTACCCCTCCTCCCCCCCAACTACCCCGATTTCTTTCATCGAAGAGTTGGTAACCCTACCGAGGACACGATCGATACAGCATCAATTCTTGAAAAAGAACGCATAGGAATGCGCATGTTACTGACGCATCTTCGAATGGTGCATTCGCACACACCTGCCGACAGATTTTGCTTGTTGTTGTCATAGGCAGCGCTTGCTAGACAGACACAAATATAGCATGATCCTCGGAACGAACAACTTTCTCAACGCCTTGCGTTTGTCTTCATGTGTCAGTTATCGCATCCTACGAACAAAAAATTATTAGCAGAGTTGTTAGAAAGAAAAGCGCGCAGGGTAGTAGAAAAATGAAAGGTTGGCTGCGGGACTAGTCAACTTGGTGGCACTTTCTGTGTGCCTTTGTGTATGACTAAGCATATTTTAATGAACAAAACAAAAAATAAAAAGAGGCAATGCTGGATGAATCGAAGGAGACCTTCTTAACCTACGAGTATATATGTATGTTTGTTTGCCAATGTTGGAGTGGAATCGCAAAGCTAGAGTGAGGCAAGTACAAACATTAAGGTAGCAACTACGCGGCATGTCTTATGGTTAACGTAAACTTCTGGGTTGAGAATTTAGATTCGCAGCTGCTGCATACATCTAACGCTTGGTGAAATTGTTTCCGTTTTTTTCTGAGAGCGAAATGCGAAGACGCCCGTGTGCTCGTATGTTCACATTAAGAAATCGCGAGTGGATTCGAGTTCTAAGAAATGAAAATAAAAAATAGCACAGGATTCGAAAGTAGCACATGTTCTGAGTTCTAAGAAATTAGAATAAAAAAAACTTGGCAGATCAGATATTTGTGGGAATCGGCTTTATGCGAAGCAGTCGGCGAGTGATTGTTTATGCTACAGTTTTAATCCCAGTTTTACGCGCTGTATCGACAAGTTTCAGTATGTGTGTACACGTTTTGGGCTTGCTGGGAACGTCGACTGCACTGGAGTTAAAATAGTAACTTATGGTCTGACATAAAATGAGCGCTCATTTGAGAGCCCATACTCGAGACTAAGTGCGGTTTACGGTGCGATGATGCGAATATGTGTATATAGCTTGAATCACAAATCGTATGCATCAGGATTAAAGAGAAAGGTATTTGGCAAAAAAGATGAGAAGTCGTTCTGAAGGCCTTTTTTGGCCTCCTACTCAGGCTTATTGCAAGAAAGGGGGTGGAAAAGAAAGTAGAAGGAAGGTGTTGATAATGATGACAAAAAAAAAGTGACTTGAATATAGCTTGCAGAATATAGGAATACAAATGTAACGTTTTTTACTCTACTGTAAAAAAAGAAGCCAACACTGGAACTACAGTTGACGTTAACGCGACGTGACACCTAGGAGTATATTTTATTGTTTATTGGTTTTCTTTATTATAAGATAGCCCGAGATGCAAGCACAATTCACGCTGCACCAGCATCAAGCAAGCGTAGGGTATTTTTCCTAAGCACATTTAAGATATGACGCGGCTCTGTAGTAAGTATACCTGACTGTCACGCAGAATTCCCGAGTTTGATTTCTGCTGAGATTCTTATCTTTATTGTTTGCATTCATCGGGTAAACGTTGATCATACCAGTTTTTATTAGCAGGTCCTGATTTAAATTACCACTGTATGTTATTGCTGTAACTGTGTAGAGAGAGAATAAAAAAGAAAAAAACTGAGAGAAAGGCAGCGAGGTCGACCAGAATTGTGGAATCGGTTTGCCACCCTGCACAAGGGGAGGGATAAAGGGGAACAAAGATGACAAGGAAAGCACAGAGCGAAGTATACGCATGAAAAAAAAAATAAGAGCAGGGGTGCTGTAGACCATTCAGTAGGCCACATCCATGCAAAAAGTTCGATAAGGCTTTTATTTATTTTCTGCGCGAAGACAGATCATGTCGCCAATCGAGTACTGACTCTTCTGACAAGGGTCTGTCGCCAAGGTGGGCTAATGCAGCAGCCAGCGGTAGTCTGTGCGCTCTGTAGCGAGGGCAACCACAAACAACGTGCTCTATCATTTCATCACTGCCGCAATGATCACAAGCACCACTCTCTTCCATGCTGTTTCCGAAGGCAAAAAACTTGGTGAAGGCGACAACAAGTCACAGTCGGCAAAGCACCATTGTCTCGAGTCTAGGGAGTTCATACGGAGGCTGAAGTCATTGATATTGATTGGTATACGGGTTTTATTGTCCCAAAACCACCATATGATCACGATATAAGCCGTAGAGGAGGGTTACGCAAAATTTCTACCAAATACAGTTCTTTAAAAGGCGCCGAGATCTGTGCATACGGGCCTACAGCGTTTCCACTTCCATTGAAAATACAGCCGCCGCAGCCGGGTTTCGATCCCGTGACCTGCGGGTCAGCAACCGAGTACCATAGAACACCGCGGTGGGGCGGAGGCCGAAGTTGATAAGACGGGTCCAGCCTATACACGTGTGCCGTGTGTTCTGCCAAAAATTAGACAGCTGATCCACCACCTTTTCATCTAAGGGTATGAAATTACGTTTTATCATCATCATCACCATAATCATAACTACGCCCACTACAGAGCAAAGGCCTGTCCTATGATCCCACAATCGACCCAGTCTTTAGCTTTCTGTTGCTACATTATACTTGCGAACTTTTTAATCTCATCGGCTAACCTAACTTTCTGTCTCCACTTCGTGTATTTGCCTTCTCTGGAAATTAAATCTGCCACCCTTAATGATCAGCGGTTATTCTTTACGTGCTACATGCCCACCTCATGTCCATTTCTTCTTCTTGATTTCAACTATGATGTCATTAACCCCAGGTTGTTGCCTGACCCATTCTGCTATATTCTTGTGTCTTAACGTTACACATATCATTTTTCTTTAAATTGCTCACTGCGTCATCTTCAATTTAGGCTGAACCCTCTTTGTAAGCCTCCAGGTTTCTGCTCCGTAGGCAAGCACCGGCAAGATGCAGCTGTTACATACCTTCCTCTTGAGGGTTAGTGGCAGATTACCATTCATAATTTGAGAATGCTTGCCGAATGTGATCCACCCCATCCTTATTCTTTTAGTTATTTCACTCTCGTGGTGCAGCTCTGTGGTTACTACCTGTCCTAAGTACACATATTTCTCCACAACTTCAAGCGTCTCTCCACCTATCGCAAAATGCTGTTTACTGCCGAGACTGCGGTCCATTACTTTAATTTTGTACATAATAATTTTCAGACCTACTCTTCCGCTTTTAGTGTCCAGTTCAGTAATCATGAACTACAATTCATCTCTTAAGTTACTCTTCAAGGCAATGTCATCAGCGAATTGCAGGTTACTATACTCTTCATTAACGCTTACCCCTATAACTCTTCCTAATCTAGGGCCCTAAAAACCACCTGTAAACACGCGGTCAATAGCATTAAAGAGATCGTGTCTCCCTTCCCACACCCTTCATAATTGGGATTCTTTCACTTTTTTTATGGAGAACTATGGTGGCTGTGGATCCCCTGTAGATTTCTTCCAGTATGTTTATGTAAGGCTGAAGATCACCTGATTACGTAGTGTATGGATCACTGCTGATGTCTCGACTGAGTCAAACGCGTTCTCATAATCTAAAAAAGCTATGTATAGGGAGTGGTTGTATTCAGCGCATTTCTCAATTACCTGATTGATATATGGATATGGCCTGATGTGGGGTAGCCGGTACAAAATCCTGTTTGGTCCTTTGGTTGATTAGACTGTAATGTCGCCCTCATTTTATTAGCAATTATTTTTGTAAATAGTTTTTAGAGAACGTACAGTAAGCTGATAGGCCTGTAATTTTCAAGTCCGTGATGTCTCATTTAAAATGATGTAGGCGTTCTTCCAAGATTCTGGTAATATTTTTGTCAAGACACACTTCATATATAAGGCGGCCAGTATTTCTAACACGATTTCTCCGCCATCTTCAAGCAGGTCCGTTGTAACGTTATCCTCACCCGCGGCTTTGCCTCTTTGTATTTCGTCTAGGGTTTTCTTTACTTCCGCTGTCGTTATTGCTAGGATCTCCAATTCCTCTGGACTTTTATTGCTTCTAACGATATCATCCTCGTTGTTTCGGCTTCTTTACAGCTCTCTGTATAACTCCTTCACCACCTCAACTATCCTATACATATTAATTATATGACATTGCGTTTCTCTTCTCTTGATGCATACATCAAATTTTTGCACATGCACAAGTTTTCCTTAAAACCTTTAGGATTTTGCCGCTTCTTACAGCCTGCTAAATTCTCTCCATGTTATACCTTCCAATGTCGGCTACCTTACGCCTATTGATTAACTTCGATATCTACAATAGCTCTATTTTGTCGGATAAACTAGAGGCTTTCATGGTTTTTCGTCTCTTAATGAGATTAATGATGGCTTCCAAATCCGCGGCATATCGGGCAATGAACATGCCTATGAAGCTTCTCAATATGCCCACGAAAACCTCGTGCAAGAACCAATCCCAGTATCAAAAAGTGAAGCAGTCATAAAAACACCATAGATTGCTAATGAAGATGCAAAATCTGTGTGTCTGTCAGTTACCTATCAAAACTGTCAATTCCCTGTGGCACATACCGGCATAGCGCTGGTCGCGGTATGCGCGTATATGCCACACGTGTCTGGAACAAATGCTCTTACCACGTGCGAGACTGGGTTTCAGAAATTTGACGAGCTTCGGTGACTTTTAGCGTATCTATCTATCTATCTATCTATCTATCTATCTATCTATCTATCTATCTATCTATCTATCTATCTATCTATCTATCTATCTATCTATCTATCTATCTATCTATCTATCTATCTATCTATCTATCTATCTATCTATCTATCTATCTATCTATCTATCTATCTATCTATCTATCTATCTATCTATCTATCTATCTATCTATCTATCTATCTATCTATCTATCTATCTATCTATCTATCTATCTATCTATCTATCTATCTAACTGGACTTAGTGTAGTTAACCTCCCTACCTTTCTTATATTCCCTCTTTCTTTCTCGCAAAGTGCCTCGGTTCACGTTGAAGTACTTCGCAACTAAAATCTACGGAGACATGACATCAAACTGTACCCGTGCAGTGATATTCGTCGAATAAGCAATTGCTTGTGCCAGGTACAATACTACACGTCACAAATTCGTATTTTAAAAGAATGTCCCATCTACATGGCTCATTAGGTTATAAACAGGCTCTGTGTTTGGTAAAAGAACGACCCTCAAGGGCAAAACAAAGGATGGGGAAAAGGTCACCGCTCTTTAACTGTCTAAAATATAACCAAATCTTTGGTTGGTCATGTGCTGTCTACCACTTCATACCAAAATCGAGTTCAGCGATATGCCACAGCTCATGCTGTGATCATATAAGCCAATGTTATTCCAATATTCTTCACTTGTGAGCAAATGTACGTTTTCATATTTATGTCATTGTTTAATTTTTTTTGCTGCTGCACTCCTTTGGCAGGGCAGGCTGAATCCTCTAACAGTCACGACAAATGCAAAAATAGGAAAGAAGGCATTGCGTATTGGACTGTGCACTCTCAACTCATGCACAGAGGAGGAAGTCAAGTTCTTAGCAGCTGGAGGTAAAGTAGTGATGCACGCTTTCAAGTGCATTTTGTTCCACTATTGAACCTTAGTAAAAAACTGGTGATGCTATTTCACATTTTATTTGGGGAGTCGCAAAGATTGTTCTTCTAACAACCTCTACAGTTTTCAAGCAATATGGCGCAAACACAACGGTTACCGGCTGCCGGACAGACGATCCAAAGAAGCTGACTAAACTTCAATATGCTTCAATGTGAGTACTAGATCGACGCATCAAAACTTATTGAGAACGAACGAAAAGGTGTGGTGATTGCTAGCTTACATACGGTTGACTGTCAAAGTGCACCTTCTTTGTCAATTGAGCTTTCTGGCGGTAAAACGCTATCGTTGTGAAGGTTGTAACTGTACATCAGTTTCAGAGAAATTAGCTGTACGGTCGCGACATTGCAACTAATCAACGTTGTTCCGCGGGTGATTGATTCAATAATTTTTTTTTTGTCTCCCAGAACGGTCCTGTTCAGACGTAACCAAATTTGGCACTAATTCAAATAATTTCTTATTCAGGAGCATATGTCGACACAACATCAAGACCCCATTCGAATATTGCTGAGCGCCTGTGGCAGACCACTAGCACGATGAAACGCAGCTGATAACAGTTGCGCAGTTGCTATCGATTGGCAAAAACAAGTGTCTGACTCATTCCTGTTTCTTCACGCTCGTGCTCTGCTCCTTTATGCCTCGATGTTGTTTCTACATCATGTCCCTGAAATATAAGTAAGCTGGGTGAGTGTAAAATCAAATCATAAACTCTAGTAACACAAGTCGGGCAGGTGGATCAAGCAAAGTGGGGTTGTCAGGAGGTAAGGTTCTGATTTCGTTTAAAATACAAACATTTACCGCAGTAATGATACAAAGAAGGCAGTGAAGAAGATTTTGTTTATTATGGCGCTGACAACTCCAACTGCTCGCGATAATCACACCCAGCAAATCGTAAAAACTGCTTGTGCAAGATTATTTTGAGTAGCTGTTATCATGCTTTGATAGATATGTGGGGTTTAACGTCCCAAAACCACTATCTGATTATGAGAGACGCCGTAGTGGAGGGCTCCGGAAATTTAGACCACCTGGGGTTCTTTAACGTGCACCCAAATCTGAGTACACGGGTGTTATCATGCTTTCGTTTAATATATTGTCAATTTAAGATTCGAGAACCTGTATATGTTATCAGAGCAGTGAAAAGAGATTAGTTCAGTCATGATGATTTTGAACACGTACTAATATAAAAAGACCCCACCAACCCATGCATTTGTTTTTGCCGATCGTCGGTGTTTGCTTGTCACCGCGTGCTCAAAAAGTAACGCGTGTTACGGGTGTGTATTCGATAATCATTGTTTCACTCTTCTCTTCATGAACAACCTCGACTTCCATAGAATGGTACTCGTAGGATGCTTCACACTGTTGGAAGGTTAAGCTACGTATAATGAACAAAATATTGTCTTTTTTTCTTTGTCTCTTTGACGTTTATTTTTTGTTTATCTGTATTTCAGATATTACTTGAGCGTTCTTGGACTACTTCTTATTATAGGGACGCTTATTGAATGGATCGTGATCTCGCTCCCGGCACCGGACATGGAAGCCAGTCTGTGTTTGTATCATATAGTCTCCTACGCTTCAAATTTTATAAAGTCCGCGTGTCATACCTCTACTTTATTTCGCGAGTTACAAAATACTATAGGGTATGAGACGCAACAATCTTTTATTGTTAAATGAACAACTGACCGTATGTTTGGGTTGAGCATACTGCAGTGAATCTTTTAGAATCGCAATTTGTTATTGTAGAAAAATTAAATAAACAAAATATATCTGCAAATGTGTAGAAAACTACACCCTATTGCACAAAACTGCGGTTTATCTAAACAAATAGTTATCTTCCCCTAGAAGAGAAACAGTGAAGCAAGCATTTTAAACGGGAAGAGTCAAAGATATCTTGACCAGTAGCTGAAACATGCAGCATAAAAAAACAAGCATGCGTAAGAAACAAGCATGCCTTGGCAAAAAGAAACATCTTGACAGTTCCACAGTCAGGTATACATTACGTTACCATAAGAGACATCATGCTTTAGGCTAATAAAGGACACTAAAATCAAATAACAATTTAGGTCAGAGTGAAAGTATAATGTACGATATTGTCTACAACGACAAAATTATCAACAGCAGTGCCCTACTTACTGCGAAACGAAGATAAATGCACGAGAAAGCATGCGCTACGAAATTAAATTCACACAAGGATCCCAGTTACGTCAAACGCACCACATACAAATAATCACTAGTAATCAAACTAGCCGCCTTAAGTAAAGAACTTTTCGTGAATCAAGAGACGTTTCGAATCGCTGCTTGTTCCTGTATGTCTAGTTCATCGAAAAAAGAAGCACCGGAGGTTACTATGGGGAATGGCGCAAATGGTTATAAAGTTCAATTTTTGCCGGTTAAACTGGACAGGTAGTACCATCTGGTTGGGCCCAGTCGAACCACTCACGTCTACCATCTCGCAGGCCATGGTCGGAAATCGTTCGATGTTCGTTGTTGCTGCTGTGGCTCCCGCTACTTCAGTTCGGCTGCAGGTAGTTTCGTCGTCAGCACAGCGAAGCCGGGCAACGCTGTGTACGCAAACAGTGATGTGAGAGGTTCCACTTGAGGCGGGTAACTTGAAGTGTAATAACGCGATGCGGACCACTAAAACGTGATTTTATTTCAAAATCAGCTCTCCCTTGGCACAAAAGTAGCACTACGAGATTTCTGGACCGCTATTTCCGCAATGAATATCGACTTAAGATTTGCTACTAGTGTTTCTTCAAAGGCGCAAGTGACTTGTGAGAGAAGGGTCGAAAAAACGCAACTGAAAATTCTACAGGGTGAGGACATATCTGGTGCTGCAAAAATATTGTTGTCTCTTCTACCTCTATATGTAATAATAAAGAACTATAAATATGACTTTAAGAACTAATGGATATGTGGTCTATATAGCTATCCTGTCGCGAGCATGTCGGAATGCAGAGTGTTGAAAAAAAGCGCCTGAATATAATAAAGATATGAGCAATGCAATATTTGTAGGCTAACTCAAAGTTATTTTTATGTGGCAGCAGACATATTAACATAACTGGAGACAATAGTTCAATCAGTAACCCTAAAAATAAATGGATAAATGTTAAATCAGTGATGATAGGTGACACAAATAGAGATGTGGGGTTCGGGTCATGCTACCAATTGACAGATGCATAAGCGATGATGTAAAAAATGGAGACAAGTACTGGAATTTAAGCATGCAATTTACGTTCACATGTGAAAAAAAGCCGGTTGTGTATTCAAGCAGCTTAAAATGCTTAGCGACTGCGAATACAGATGGCTCGCATTGTTGTGTTTCTTGTGAATAAAGCCTTTCACGGGATCGTTAAGGCGTCATAATGAAAGCTTGATAAGCAAGCCTAGTCTTGCTAACACTCAAAGCCGACTAAACTATTAGAGTTTTTTTTTATTCCATCTAGCAGTGGTATAGGAATAAGGCCGATATTGTCCTTTCTTTCTTAACCAAACACTATGCATGATAAGGTGCTGACGAATTGGCGAAAATGCGAACATAGCTTGACACGCATTATTGATGAAAACGGCCACAGTGCAGAAGGGTGTTGAAGGGTCAGATGGTACATGGTATCTGAGGGGAACAGCGCAAAAGTGGGACAGACGAAAGAATGAACACACAACACAACCACTGACGAAGAATTGTGTGTAAAATAGTTAGACCGGAAAATGTACAACTGATAACAGGAAACAAAAATAAAGCCATCACGTGCACCTGAAGGTGAAAATGAAAACGAATCCGCCATGAGTCGAAATGTCCAAGTTGCAGATTCGTTTTGCTTTTCACCTTTGTGTGCACGTGATGGGTTTATTCTTGTTTTCTGTTTTAGGTTTTATATTTTCCGGTGTAATAACTTTACTCACAGTTGTTCGTCAGGGCTTGCGTTGTGTGTTAATTCTTTGTCCATCCCGCTTTTGCGCTCTTCCCGCAAAGTATGACGGTCAAAGTGGCCTAGCAGGTAAGGTGTCCTGCTTCAAAGCCTAAAGGGGTGGGTACGACGTAAGGCGACAGCAGCTGTACTTTCAAAACGCAAGCACACCCATATACTTATTTTTAGAAACATCGAAGAAGTCGAGGTCTCCAGATCTGCGCTGTGACGTACCGCATACGTCACGCCTTGGAGACGTCAAACTCCCAAAATTTTAAAAACATTACTCATGTGGCCGTTCGTGACTTGTCACAGCAGTGATACTGTAACTGCTGAATCGCATATCTGTGTTTGTAACATTCTTCTTAACCCACTGTACGCCCTTTTTACTCCTTCCCTCTCTATTTTGTCTTGATACTTGCAGTCCGCGTATGGTTGCCACTGAGATGGTTCATGTATTTCTCTGCAATCAGCAACACAAAACGCCTCCTGAAGACCACAGCTAGGAAAGATAACCAGAACCTGGTGTTCCTCAGTGGCTTCAAGGTTTTCCTCATCTTCTGGGTCATCTATGCGCACTGCTACGTCTTAATACAACCAGAATTTGCACGTAAGTGAATAGTATTCATATTTTCACTACACGCTCTAAGAACTTCAATGCCTCCATGGTAACTTAGTAGGCACGGTGCCATGCTCGTAAGCTCACGGACATGGACTTATTCCCCTTCAACAGCAGTCACATAAAACCCAACACCCACGGGTATTAGCACTGGAGCACCTGGGATAAAAGGGAACACACCCACTCCCCTCCTGTTGGAAGACCTTAATTATTCATCTTTCTTCTTTTCCTTCCTTCCTTGCAGCTAGTGTATATACGCGCGCAAATACACATAAAGTATGGGTAACGCCACCTACTGCCTTTAGAATACTTTGTGGCTACGCTCCTGGATATACTATTAGTCATCATTTACCAGTAACGTAGCCACCAAGCCTCTCAAATGTTGGGGAAAGGAAATAGTTACGACGTGTGCATGACTAAACTTTTAAAAAAGAATTTAAAAGCCAGATTTCGGCCGATAATGGGAGTCCCAATGTGCAGCAAGCAGCGCGTCCAGTGTGCCAGCGTCCCAGTGTCTAGCACCACACCAGCCCAGTAATCAGGTATGGCGCTGGGACAGATTCGCGAATATATATATATATATATATATATATATATATATATATATATATATATATATATATATATTATGAGACCACGTCCGGTACGGCAGCAACCAGGTTCTCTTTTTTTAATCCAGACGCACGAGCCAGAGAGCCAGCCCGCGTGACATACGATGATGATCACTACAATGGTTTGGTCGTACAGATGAAGATGAAGTACATAGTCAGCGCTCACACTATTTTCCCGCCTTCGCGAAAGAGGGCAGCAAGTTAGAAAGGGTTGGGACGCCGAATATATCGTTTCAGTCGAGAGACGTGGGCGATCTCGGTGTGGCGGCGACGACGATCAGAAGCCGCGTTGACAGGAGCAACGCGATAGTTGACTTAAGATGTTCGTTCCAGGACGGCGTATGGACCGAGATATCGGTGAAGGAATTTTTCGCAGAGCCCAGGTACACGAACAGGTGTCCACAAAAGGACTTCGTCGTCTGGGCGGAACACAACAACTCGACGCTTCGCATCAAGGTCGATTTTTCTCTTGTCCTGAATGGTAGCAGTGTTGGCGCGGTCGATTTCACGGCAGCGGGTGACGCGAGCGGCGAACTCTTCCGGGAGAGATGAAGATGGATTGGAAGATGTGGACAAAAAGGTGGTGTCCAGAACAAAAGTCAGTACACGGCCATACACGAGAAAAAAAGGGCTGAAATTCGTTGTACGCTGTATGGCAGTGTTATATGCGAACGTGACAAAAGGAAGTATTGTGTCCCAGTTTTTGTGATCCGGTTGCACGTACATAGAGATCATGTCGGACAAAGTTCGGTGAAAACGCTCAGTCAGACCATTAGTTTCTAGGTGATACGCTGATCTGGTCTTGTGGATGGTGTTAGAGGCCTGTAAGACTTCAGCAAGGACATGTGAAAGAAACGTCTTGCCACGGTCACTAAGGAGCACACGCGGTGCGCCATGTCGTAAAATAATGGCGCGAAGGAAAAAATCGGCTACTTCAGAGGTAGCACCAGATGAAAGAGTTGCCGTCTCCGCGTAGCGAGTAAGGTGGTCTACGGCAGTAACAATCCAACGGTGACCGGCTGGCGTAAGCGGAAGAGGTCCGTATAAGTCTATGCCCACAAATTCAAAGGGAGTGGACGGACACGGCAGTGGTTGCAATGGCCCAGCGGGAAGAGACATGGTACGTTTTCGGTGCTGGCATGACGCGCAGGAAGCGACGTACTTGGCGACAGACGTGGAGAGGCCAGGCCAAAAGCAGCGAGTCCTGAGGCGGTCGTAGGTCTTGTGGAACCCTAAGTGGCCAGCTGTCGCATCATCATGAAACGCTTGTAGAACTTCCAGACGAAGTGAGCGAGGAATGATGGGAACCCATTGGTTACCGAGAGGATGGTAAATTTGCCGACATAATGTTCCCTCTTGAAGCTTGAAACGGGAAAGTTGTCGTCTTAGGCGGCTGTTTGGAGCACGCGATAAGCCAGTGAGCCGATCGATGATTGTGCGGCAGTAGGTATCGGCATGTTGGAGCGAGGCGAGATCTGTGGACGAAAGAAGGTCCGCCGAGGCAACTAACTGTTTCGAAGCAGCAGCCGTTTGTTTGGTCACTTTGGTGGGCGGTGACGAACAGATGGAAGGTGACACTTCGGCGCTTTGCGAGAGCGCGCAACGGGACAAAGCGTCGGCATCTTGGTGCTCTCGGCCCGACCTATATGTGACGCATTAGTCATACTCTTGCAATCGTAGTACCCAACGGCCAAGGCATCCCGACAAATTTTTGAGAGACGATAACCAACACAGAGCATGATGGTCAGTCACTATTGTGAAATGCCGGCCGTATAAGTAAGGACGAAACTTTTGTATGGACCACACGAATGCGAGACATTCTTGCTCAGTGATGTTGTAGTTTCGCTCAGCAGGTGACAGAGTACGGCTCGCGTAGGCCACGACTTGTTTTTCGGAAGCGTGGTTCCGCTGAAGGACAGCACCGATGCCAAGTCCACTTGCGTCAGTGTGTAGCACAGTAGGTGCTGCAGGGTCGAAATGGCGAAGCACTGGCCGTGATGTGAGGCATCGCTTGAGGGTGTGAAAAGCGGCTTCGCAGTCATCCGACCAGACAAAGGGTGCGCTCGTGGTCAGAAGTTTGTGCAGAGGAGCCGCAATAGTAGCGAAATCACGTACAAAGCGGCGGAAATACGACGCTAAGCCAAGGAAGCTGCGGAGGTCTTTCTGTGTGGTTGGTGTAGGAAAGTGCAGTACCGCGGCAACCTTGTCGGGATCGGGCTCAAGGCCATGTTTACTGACGACGTGACCTAATACCTTGATGCTGTGACTGGCAAACCGACACTTCTTAGTGTTGAGCTGGAGACCGGCCTTAGCTAAACACGTGAGGACTTCGTCTAGCCGTTCCAGGTGCTGTGAGAAGCTCGACGAAAAAATGACAATGTCGTTCAGGTAGCAAAGGGAGGTCTTTCATTTTAATCCCCGAAGTACCGTGTCTATCATTCGTTCGAATGTGGCTGGGGCATCGCACAGGCCGAAAGGCATTACATTCAAAGAGCCCATCCGGCGTAGCAAACGCAGTCTTCTCTTTATCAGACTCGTGCATTGGAATCTGCCAATAACCGGAGTGCAAGTCGAGACTTGAAAAGTACTCGGCACCTTGTAAAGTATCAAGAGCGTCGTCAATGCGAGGCATTGGGTAGACGTCCTTACGAGTGCTTTTGTTGAGTGATCTGTAATCAATGCAAAACCGTACCGAGCCATCCTTTTTTTTTCACTAGTACGACAGGAGAAGACCATGCGCTTGTCGAAGGCCTGATGCCGTTGCGCGCGAGCATGTCGTTGACTTGTTCTTCTATAAGCTTGCGTTCAGAAGCCGACACACGGTAAGGGCGGCGGCTAATCACACGGGATCCGTCGGTGTCGATACGATGGGCGGTCACTGTTGTTTGACCCGGACCTTCGGAACAAACGTCAAAGCAAGTTTTGTGCTTCATTATTAACGCTAGCAAGGCATCAGTTTGCGTTGGGTTGAGACGTTCACACAAAGTGGCCTTGAGAGCAGGAAATGCATCTTCCGCTGGCATACACTTTGAGAATGACGAAGCAGATGAACCAGTGACGACACAAAGCGGTGCTTCTTCGGTAATGCTGGCAACAGTGGTCCCCTCAGGCAAAAGAAGTGGTTCTGGCGTCGTGTTGCAGGCCGTGATGCTTCCATAACCACGGGAGAACCGCACTAAACAAGATGCGATGGTGATCCCTCGAAAAATGCAGCGCTGGCAAGGAGTAACCACAGCGTCACCATCTAGAATGTCTCGTGACTTGATCGTAAGGACACGTTCTCGTCCGAGAGGCAGGAGGAAATCCGCAGCTGTCACAAGGTTGGGCGACGAAAGGTCGGCAGCAGAAGAAAGCTCAGTGTTCGTAATACGAATGAGGGGCCGACCACACGAAATTACAGCAGACGCCGCTGACAAGAAGTCCCAGCCTAAGATTATCTGATGAGTGCATGAAGACAGCACAGCCAATTGTATGTGATGACGGATTCCATCGATGAGAATACGAGCAGTGCACAACCAGGTCGGGCGAATTGGACTGTCATTAGCACCGCATAACATGGGACCGGCATAAGGAGTTTGCACTTTACGCAGGCGAAAACACAATTCACGATCAATTACCGAAATTGCGGCTCCAGTGTCTATAAGGGCGTCAACAAAAACACCTTCCACAGAAACAGGCAGTAAATTAGCTGGACGAGACGGAGAAGTTGTAGCGTTCCGACGACAAGCAATTTCCCCTCCAAAAACTGCACCTTCTAGTTTTCCGAGTCCAGGGAGATCGGAGCGGGACGCAAGGGTGATGACGTACGCCGAAACGGTGACGGAGAACGGCGGCGAGATGAACGAGAAGGATGAGGCCCAGCATGAGACCGTGGAGGGGAGGGTGACTGACGGAAGGTGGATGGATACGGTGCGGGATCGCATTCATCGGGTCTCGGGGCAAAGTCTCTCTCGTAAGCTGAGTAACCACGTCGTTCATCCTGCTGACGGCGGCGGCAGAAACGGGATATATGACCCCTTATGCCACAGTAGAAGCAGATGGGGCGGGGAGGACGCCATGTAGAATAGTGGCGTGGCCTTGGCGCTTGCGTTGTCATCGCAGCCACATGGTCGCATCCGACGTCCACAGGCACGGTTGGAACTGGTGCAGGGGCCCGCGATGCAACTTCTGCGTACGAAGGCACTGGGAAGCGCACAGGAGACGGGGCATGTGCAGCGCTTGTCATTGATGCCAGTTCGTCCTTGATTATCTCTCGCAGGTTGGGAGGAGGTGTGTGGACAGACGAAATGGTAGGGTTGCCTGGAATAAGGCCGTGAAGTTCTTCTCTGACAATTGTACGGACAAGGGCCCGCAATTCATGCTCTTTGGTAAAGCGAGCGT